CCCCCCCCCGGAGGCCTGGAGCCAAGGCCTTTGTGCCAGGGTCTGAGGAGCTCCTGGTGGCAGCAGGGACCCCAGCCCGTTTCCTTCCTTCTGCTTCTCTCCAAGAGTGCTCTGAGCAGAAAAGGACCCCTCAGGTGGTTTGGGAAAAGCAAGCTGGGTGGGCAAGTTTAGAGTTCCCCAAAACCACCTGCTCCTACTCCAACGCCCATTTCACCAGAACAAAGTGTGTTTGCAAGGCTGGCTGGAGCTCCCTCCAAAGGTTCGGGGAGGGCTAGTCCCACACTGACCATGTCACAGCAAATTCCAAACCATTTTCCCAAAAAGTGCCAAGTGGAATAAGGACACCCTTTAAACCCTCCCTGCGGTCGCCCCCCAAAAAGCTAAAGCACAGCTCACTCAGAAGCATGGGGGAGGGGAGGGAAGCAGACTGTCACCGTGTCGGGACTTTAGGTAGAGTCTCGACAAAGCACCGGGCTGGGCCCGGGTAGCCCGACTCCTGACAGTGATCCTTCTTTCCTCGGAGTCTGGGGCTGGAGAGAGCTTACGTGGGTCTTCTCAGCAGAGGGGAGTTAAAAATAAAGGGGTGGCGGGGGTTTCTATTCGAGCAGGGGAGGAAACGGGGAAGGGGCGTGAGGAAATGCCTCCTAGGAGGGGTTTAAGGGCTGGGGACAGCGGGAAGGAACAGGGGTGGTTCTCTGGGTCCTCGGCATGGGGCTACCTCGAGAGGTCACCTTCCTGCGGAGGGCCGGCGGGGGGAGGGGCGCGGCTCGCCGCCCCGGGTTCCCCGCTCCGGCCGCCGCGGCTCCGGGAACACGCGGCCGGCCAGGCCCGGGCTGATGTAATCGGCTCCGCGCCGCGCGCGCCCGGCCGGGCGGGGGAGGGCGGGCACCGAGCGGGACGCGAGCTGGGACGGGCGGGGGTTGGTGCGGCGCAGGTGGCCCGGCGGAGAGGGAGGGGGGTCCCAAGCAGCAATCCACCCCAAAACTTTTCCCCAACTCGAGGCGAGGGCCGCAGAGATCGAGCGGCAGTGACAGCAAGCCCCATCTCTCGCCTGCCCCCTGCCCCCTCCACGCTCTCTGCCCTCCCCCGGTCCAAGGTCCGAGCACCCCCACCCCCGCCCGCCAGGGCTCCTGCTCCCGCCCCAGCTGCCCGGACTTCCAGTACGTCGGGGACCAGCGGCCGGGAGCAAACTTCAGCCGCCGGCGGCAGCGCAAGCCCAGCCCCCTCAGCCGCCTCCTCCGGCTCCCGCCCTCCGCTGGTCGGCCCAGATCGTACGTGCGGTGACTCTGGCGGGTGGGCAGGGCCCGCGTGGGCGGTGAGACTCTATCCCGGTGCCCTCCCACCTAGCGCGCGCCCCCTCCCCCTACACCTACGAAGATAGAGGAGAAGCCGCGCGCCCGGTGCCCAAGGACCCGCGTGGGGCACGGAGTCCCCCACGCGCGCGCTCGCACGCACGTCCCCAGCCCTTACCTTGGCATGGTGAAGGTAGAGCAGCAAGGCAAGGCTCCAATGCACCCAAGAGAGCAGAAAGTTCATGGTTTCGGAGGCCCGGCCGGGGCCGGCGCGGCTCGCGCTCCCTCTCCGGCTCGGGCTGCGGGGCGGCCCGCTCTCCTCGGCGCCCAGGCGGGCTCCTCTTCCTCCCGGAGCCAAGGCCCGGGCCGGGGCCTGGGGCGCGCGCGCGGCTGGAGCACTGTCTGTGCACACAGTCGCCTCACCCGTCCATGAGCCCGGCTTCCGAGAGCCGAGTCGCCACCGCGGCCCCTTCTCCTCTTCCTTCTCTTCTTCCTCCTCCCCCTCCTCCGACTGCGGCTCCTCCCGGCCCGAGCGAGCACTTCTCCCGGTGCCGCTCGGCTCGGCTGCCCCGGCGCGGACCACGGCTCCTCCGGAACGAGAACAGCCCAGAAGTTGGACGAAAAGTTTCAGGGCAACGTCGCGAGCCCCGACCCCCTCCACCCCGCCTCCGGGCGCGGGCTCCGGCTCCTGCCCGCGGCTCGCCGCCGCGTCCACCGTCGGCCGCCGGCCGGGGAGGAGGTGGGCGCTGGGGCAGGGGGCGGTGTCTGTCTGTCTGTCCGTCAGCGCTGCTGGTCCGACGCGGGATCCTGAGGGGGAGGGCTCACGCTGCGCTCTGGCGGTCACCCCCAAAAAACAGGTCACTCACTTTGCCCCGTCCCTCTCGTGTCTCGCTCGCCAGCGCGCGCTCTCTGACCCGGTCTCTCTTCCTTCACTTCTCTTTGGAGCTCTTGCTACCCTCTTTCTTCTCTGCTCGTTTCCAGAATCCGAAGTGATTTTGGGGGAGAGTAAAAGAGCAATCTCCCCAACGGTCCGCCCGATTTAGCGGGGAATGGGAAGCAAAAATAAATTAAAACGGGAAAGAATACGGTTTAAAAAAAAAATGTTTCAGAAAAAAAGGAGGAGGGTAAACCCTGGATAAATGAATATCAAATTCCAGTGCGGAGACCCCTGGCCGGTGCCCCGCCGGTCCGTCCGCCTCTTCGATGCGTCTGCCGACCGAGCGCCGCTGCCGCCGGCTCCACTCGTCCCCCAACGCCGCGGCCTCGTCGCAGCCCGGCTGCCCCAAGCCTCTGCGCTCCTCTCCGCTACGAGCCGACTAAAAAGAAGCCTTGGCCCCGCCCCGACACGCCCAGGGGGCGGGGCCAGGCCCAGCCTCAGCTCCTGGGTCCGTCCCCTCCGCGCCTCTGGCCACTGCCTTCCCCTGGGGACACCGACCGAAGCCCGGGCCCCCACCCACCCCAGCGAAGGGAATGCTCGACCCCCACCAAGGCGCACAGCCTGAACATTACCTATCGGCCCCCCTTTGCCGGGAGACACACACGCCCGCGCGGTATTTGCGGGGAGGGTACGGGAAAAGTGAGGTTATGTGCGGTCAGGGCTCTAGAGCTATTCCCTCCTCTATGCTGGGAATATTGGAGGGGGCAGGGGTTTGCGGTAGTCGGACAGGGACGGGTGGAAAGAGAGTCACACAGATCCGTTGGAATCCTGGGGTGACCCCTGCCTTCTCCACCCCACCTCAAACACTCTCAACTACCCGCCCCCCCAACACACAGAGTCACAGGCGTCCTCTCACGCAGACGCTGCATCCCAAGTTCACCCAGCTTCCCTGTGGTGGCTGAGCGCCCCCTAGTGACTATCGCATGCACACCCCATCTCAGGTTCAAGAGGCCTCAAGAAGAGGGTTGAGGGAGATTACCCCTGAAACCCCCTCCGCCCCGCCCCCCGATTCTGACCTCTCAAACAGTGGCACGTCTGGGACTCGCGTGGTCCCACGTGCACAAAGCCCAGTGCTGGGCACAGAGGGCATGATGTGTCCATCTGGACTCTGTGCTCATCTCCGGGCCCCATCTGGCCCGCTGACATCAGAGTTAGCTGCAGCCAACAGGCCAGGGTGACTGGGGTCCTTTGGGAAGTGTTCAGGGAGGCTCCCTGGGGAGAAGTATTTGGCACCATGTTTATGGGGCCGAGAACAAGAAGCCGTGTGGTTCTGGGGTTAGTCAGTGGCCCAGAGAGAAGAGGACCTGTTGGAGCCCACGTATGCACTGTGGAGTCTGGCAGAGCCCAAAGGGAGAGGCAGCTGGGCAGACAGAGGCCCTTGTTTCTGCTTCTCCACCCCCCCTCCCCCAGATGTTGCCAGGGAACTGAGGCCAGGGGGCTGGTGGGGGCGGATGGAGGCCAGGGCCTAAGTGATGATTCAAACCTACTCACCAGCACTAAGGAACGTCTGCAGGCCTGCTGCCCAGAGCTCCCCACCAGGCCGGAGGCCAAGGCTTCTATCAGTCCCAGTCCAGGCTCACAGCTCATCTTCTGAACAGAACTGGGGCATTCTCCTCAGCAGCCCCCAGACCTTCAGGATCCACTGTCTACTTCTTGCAGCTAGCAGCCTCTCCTCCGTTTCCCCCAAGTCCCCTCTGTTTCTTCAAAGCCCGCCTCTTCCCCAACTCCCCATGTCTTCCCTAAGTGCCCCCCAAGACCCCCCACCCCACCCTTGCATATAGGAACCAGCCTGGAAAAAGTCCTGGTTGGGCTTGGACCCAGCAGCTCCCAGTCTCCCCCAGGGAGGAGGGGGTTGCGTGGGGGTGATACCTGTGAGAAGACAGGGACTAACCAGTCTCATTATTCATCTAGATCTGGCCAGGGCCTGCCTGGGGCTGATGCAGCCTCTGTGAAGGCCTGGACTGAGAATGGGAACTAGGCTGAGACGAGAATGCACAATTTCCCTCAAGTTGACCCAAACGATACAAGGAGGTAACTCACCAGCCCCTGGTCTCAGCACATGGTACTGTGCTTTGGTGGGGCTGCTAGGTTACCCACTTAGTGCCGCAGTTCCCCAGAGTGGTGTCCTGAGGCCCTTATGGGCAGAGGGGCTGGCTCAGCCTCTACCCCATCCTACCCTCTCCATCATTCATGCCTCCAGTCCTGTCTCCACCACCTGGCAGGCTCCCCAGCAGCAGGGACAAGGTCTTTTTACAGTTAGCAAATGTTTATTTGCTGGCTCAGACCCCTCCCAGGCAGGCCTCCTCACCAAAGCTCCACGCTCCAAGAAGCCACGTGGGTCATGGAAGCGAAGTCACTAAACTTCCTCCTTGCCCAACCTGGTCCATGTCTAGCAACCCCAGAGCAAAAGATGCGGACACCTTACCAAGGATCTCCTGCCTTATTCTTGCCCTGGGGCCAGCAGAGCCCAGGACAGCGGCTCCCAGCTTTACCACCAGGGATGACCCTGGCCCCCTCCTCTGCATTCCTTCTCATCCCAGCTTCCCTTGGTCCCTGGAGAGGCCTAAAGAGGGCTTAATAAAGGACCCTGAAGTTGGGAGGAAGATGGTGGGGTTCCGAGGAGGGAGGGCCATCAGTTGTTATTTAATAGCCACAGGTCTCTCCCCTACCTGAGTCAACCATTCCCCATTCAGCAAAGTGTGTTACAGCAACCTCTGTGGGCTCTGCCCAGGAAACCAGAGGAAGGAGGCAGCAGAACTGCAGCCTTGCCTGAAGGGTTCTGAGCACCCTTCAGTGGTGTGAAGAGGGGTTTCCTGTCTCCATCCTTCATTTCAGAGCCACAGCCTGGAGGTGACTCGGGGGAGGGGGATTGACACCACCCCCAGTGTGGTGTCACCAGCCTTCACAATAATACACTGCCATGGAGTCAACCCCATGGGTTATCATCAAACTGAGAGTCCTATGTACCTAGATCTTCAAGAACAGGGACCAGAAACACACAGAACAAGAATACAAGTCAACAACCACAAGACCACATCGCATCTCTACCACATCGCCTCTTCTCCTCCCATGGACGTAACTCCCTCCAACAAACTTGATTCCACTTATCCTCCCTCGGCAAGCTGCTTCAATCCAGAGAATATCAGGGCAGACTGTCGCCCCAGAGGGACCCAAGGTCACCCAGAAACATGGCAGGGAGGAGGGTGGGGAGGGGGGCGCATGGAGTGGAGAGCAGCCCAGGCAGAGGGCTGACCTTCTCCAGGGGCAACCTCAGCCCCACTCAGAGGACCTCACCTCATGGCCAGGACAGCCTCGGCCTGTGGCTGGGAAGCAGTTCAGAAGAAGCCAAAGAGGAAGGGGAAGGTGTTCCAGGGGAGAGGGAAAGAAAAGCAGGGGTGGGTGGAGAAGAGTGTGAAAGGTGGCCAGGAGCCAGCAGTAGCCCCAGACAAAGGCAGTAGTGATCAGGCCAAGGGCACAATGGTTGTACTCTGTCCTGCTGATCCTGACACCTCTGAGGTTCAGGGTCACTCTCCCTGTGTGGATGGGGGCGCTTCCCTGCAGGGATGAAGAGGTAGAGCCCCTCCGAAGCCCCTCCAAAGGGAGGTGGGGGAGAGAGTCGCTAAGCCTTGCTGTTGTCTAAACATGTCTCAGTGTGGTTCCTCTGTGATGGAAGAAAGGTTTCTCCCTTGCTTCAACCCCCAAGCCCCGGGCGCCTAGCAGGACACAGAGCTGATCCAACGCAAGGGCAGGAACAGAATATGTTGAACTGAAGGAGAGAGAACTGGATTCCTCTGCCTCAATTCCGTGTTTGTCTGTCTCTGCTCTCTCTTTCTCTGTCTTTATTATAAAAGCAAGGATGAGAGCCCTCTTTTCCCAGTGCCAATGTCATATTCTCATCTGGATCTGGAGGTCTGACTCGGGGTAATGATGCCACTTAGGAAAAAAGATTAGAGCAGAGAAAGCCCAAGAGAGGAGCTAGTGAGGAAAAGGGGAGGCAAGAAGCAGAGGCAGCTGGGACTTCTCTGGGGGTCCCGTGGTTAAGAATCTGCCTTGTGATGCAGGGGGCACGGATTCGATCCCTGCTCTGGGAACTAAGATCCCACGTGCTGCAGGGCAACCAAACCCCTGTGCCCCAGCCACTGAGCCCCTGCACCCTAGATCCTGTGCTTCACGACAAGAGAAACCACCGCAATGAGAAGCCCATGCACCACCACGAAGAGCCTCTCGCCTTAACTAGGGTAAACCCACACACAGCAACCAAGAGGCCCTGTGCCACAGCAGAGACCCAGCACAACCAAAACTAGTAGTAATAAAAATAAAATTTTTAAAAGATGGAGAGGGAGCAGAAGAGACAGGGTAGGGTCACACTCTGGGGTCTACCCACATAGCCCCAGGCCCCATCTGCCTCTCCTTCACAGGCCTCAGTCTAATCCCCAAACACCAGGCTCTCTCCCTGGATCGCTGCTCCCCAAAAGTCCCAGGCATGTTCACTACCTGATACTCCAATCTTTGCTACCCCTCGGCATCTGACCCCCATCCTGCCCACTGCTGCCCCTTTTCACACCCTCACCCAGTCTTGGAGGGAGTCCCCCTGCTGGGAAGAAGGTGGTGGCAGAGGTGACAGCTAAGGTTCTAAAGCTGTATTCTCCCTCCTGACCTGGGGGTGCCTGGGAGCCGAGCTGGGTTCCAATCTGCAGGACCTTCCCAAAGCCTGGGGGGCACCAGGCTGTGCTAATATTATAGGAGACACAGGGCCACCTAAGTAGGGCAGTGGAAAGCGCAGGGACTCTGGATCCAGATGCAGCCAAGTGATACTGCCACTCTTTAACTGTTTTCCTCAGGCACGTTACTCAACCTCTCTGATCCTCATCTGTAAAACAAGAGTAAAACACCTGCTTTGGGGAGTTGCTGCACACCGACAGCTGCCCACGGCTACCCAAGAAGGTAGGATGGGAAAGAGAGCCTGAGAGAGGCACAGAGAGTTAGGAAGGTGCTGAAGCAAGGTGGTCAGAAGGGCCAAAATGGGCATCAAAAAGGGCTTTGGGCAGGAAGAAGCTCAGAACGTTTATTCCACAAGAATTACTGGGGCTTCCCTGGTGACCCAGATGGTAAAGAATCTACCTGCAATGCAGGAGACCTGGGTTCGATCCCTGGGTTGGGAAGATCCCCTGGAGGAGGACATGGCAACCCAATCCAGTACTCTTGCTTAGAAAATCCTATGGACAGAGCCTGGTGATCTCAAAGACTGAACAAACTAACATTCTCACTTTCAAATATTAAATTCAGCCCATGAGCCCTGTTTTGGTCCCAACCCAGGGGCTACAACAATGTAGAAGGGGCTTCCTGTGTGGAGGAGAACCAGAGTACACCAAAAATAGAAACTCTCCAAAGGGGCACTCTGGGAGTGGGGGAAGGCTTCCTGGAGGAGGTGACACTAGAGTCTTGCCCGAAGAACAGGAGTCTAGCCAGTTGAGTGGAGTGGGGATAGGGAGCAGGCAGGAAAGTGACATCTGGAGGACGCTGCCAGCTCCCTCAGCTCTCCCAGCTCTCCCCTGGGTGACAGAGACTTTGCAGAGCAGGGGATTAGGGCTTCTTCAGAAACATTTCCAACCAAAGCCCCTCCCTGGAGGGGTGGGGAAGTGAGCCCAACACTGGTTTCCCCCAGCCCTCTGAGACAGCATGTCTCTGCCACAGTGTTTAACCAAATAAGTAGACACTAGAGGTAGGGCCAGCCTGCACATCGAGCACTGCCGTTGTTTGCCCAGGGTCAACGGGAGGTGGGCAGAGGACACCAGCCTGTGAGAAGCACAGGGTCACTCAGCTGGGGTGGAGCTCAAAAGCACAAAGACCTTTCCTCCAGTTCTGCCCCTCTTCCTATCCCCACCTGGTGCCTAGAGCCTTCCCATCTGCCTGCCACAGACATGTGGAGACTGGAAACAGCACTGGACAAAAAACTCGAATAGGCCGCATGCTGTGTGACCTCCACCAAGTCAGGCCCCTCTTCTGGACCTCAGGCTTCTTCTAGGTGAAAGCCTCTCCCTGAGGCTCTGTAACAGCTCCATCAAACACTCCAACTGAGATCACTGATATAAAACGTCGTATCTTGGACTTCCCCGGTGGTGCAGGGGTTAAGAATCCGCCTGTCGGTGCAGGGGACCTGGGTTCAGTCCCTCCAGGAAGATTCCACCTGCTGCAGAGCAACTAAGCCCATGCCCCACAGCTACTGAGCCTGTGCTGTAGCGCCTGTGCTCTGCAACAAGAGAAGCCGCTGCAGTGAGAGGGCGGTCCAGGCGCTGCACCTAGAGAGTGGTCCCCATTCGCCGCAGCTAGAGAAAAGCCTGCAAGCAGCAACGAAGACCCAGCGCAGCCACAAAAAAAAAAAAAAACCAAAACGTCGCATATTCCAGGGATCTGTGTGTTTCTAAAGGTTTCCTGGGGAGGGCAAGGCTTAACTCCAAGAAATTTAGCACGAATGATGACATCTGGAGCACAGCGCCGAGTGGTAGAGGGCAGATGTGATTCCAAGAAACCCCTCGAATCCCAGCAGATAGAGAACTGCTGCTGCTCTTACCTGGCAGGCCAAGACCTCTGTCCTTTTTGAAACGTCACACCAGCTTGGAGAACCCTCGCTGTGAAACACCCCGGCCCTGGCTCCCTAACCACACCCTCCTCGCGTGTAACATGCAGTGGAAAAAGCCAGAGAGGCTGGGCTCAGTCTTCATTCTCCACGTCCAAGCCATGAGACTTAGGACAAGCAACTGCATCGGTCTGAGCCGCAGTTTCCTCATCTGTAAAATGCGAGTCCTCATGCTTACCTTCCAGGGTTATGGGGAGATGTACGGAGACAGCGAATGTGAGCAGAGCTCTCGGCCTAGAGCAGGTCTCGTGTAATGTTACTTCTCTTCCCTTTCTCCTGTCCCTACTGCCAGGTATGAGCAAACCCTCAGAGAATGCAAACATACTATCATTTGGCTAAAGTCAAACAGAAAGGAATAGGGAAATGAATTTATCCCATCCTTCTGTTGGGGGAGGTGGAAAAGAAAGGAAAGAAAGAAAGAAAGAAAGAAAGAAAGAAAAGGAAGAAATCACACGACGCCTGCCAAGGATGACTAGGGCTTAGTTCCTGCTTTAGCCTCTTTGGAGCAACTGTGTCACCAGGTACTCACTGAGTTGGCAGTAGCGGTGTTTCCTTCAGGGAAATCCTAGAGGGGGAAAAAAGAAGAAGAAGCAAGTGCCCCCCACCTCTTAGCAAGAATGGGTCCCTTCTCTCCTCCTCCAGTAAGCCCCTGGTCCTAGACCGGAAGTCTGGCCCATGACCCAGGCCCCCCAGGACGGTTCACAAAGATAAAGCAGTGAATGATTGGCCCCCCTGAGAGGAGTCGCCCCACCATCCTGCCTGCCTTCCCAGACCCATAAGTGCAGGGCGGGCCATGGGGAGTGGAGGAGACTTCCCCTCAGCTTCCAGGAGCAGCCTGGCCTAACATCCTCGAGATAATTAGTGAAGCAGCCAATTAGTCAAGGGGTATCTGTGTCAGGAGGACATGGGACCGATTCCTGGAAGCCTGGGGGGGGGGGGGCCGCTGGGAGTGGGTGTGGGAGTGGGCAGACACAGCACACTCAGTTTCATCTGCCCCGTTGGTTGGAATTTCACTTGGGATTCCCTTTGAAAAAGGCTCCACTGCTAAAGAATATGAAAATCCCTCCACTGGCCAGAGGACCCAAAAGAGGCCCAGGGCCATCTGAAGTCATCCACATGTCTTGACTCAGCGCAGCCTACCAGCCGCTTCTCCACAGGCCACTTGAACACTTAATCAGTACCCAGCACTGAGCCAGGCACCTTTGGGGTACATGGGATTCCTGCCCTCTTGGAGAGCCAGGCAATGCCCGGGAAGGGTGCTGGCCCTAGGTGCCTTGTGCATCTGGAGCAGCTCAGCTTCTGGGCCCAGGGCTCATTGTTGGCTCCCCATTCCCACAGAGAGGGGCTGAGCACGCCCTCGTTCCAGGTACTGCCCTCTAGAGGGCGCTGCTCATGTAAACCATACCCCACTGGGGTCCCCTGGAGAAATGGCTCTTTGCACGTGTCCCCAGCTGTCAGCCCCCTTGTTCAGACTCAGCTTCTTTCAGAACACAGCTGGAAGCATCAGGAAAAGTGACGTACAGCACAGTGCAGGCTGCTGTGCCCGCTCCAGCTTCCCCAAGTCCCAAGACCTGGCCCTGGTCAGCTCCAGCTTTGGGGCACCAGCCCCCCCACCTTCTGCTCCCCTGCCCCCGCTGAGGGTTACAGCCAAAGTAGTTAACACCCATGACAGCCCAGACACAGCTTACATGGAGCTGGGGGCAGGTGCTGAGCCAAGTGTAAATCCCTCAGCTTCTGGATGGTGGGGAGGTCCAGAGGACCGAGGAAGGGACTGGGGTGGCCAGAGAGGCATACGGGGAACTCAGGGGCTGGAACAGCAGCTGTTTACCAATCAGGTGGCCGTGCCGGCCTGTACCAGCTGAGCGTCTGCCCTGCCCCAGTCCCCTCTCAACCCTAGGCTGGAATGTGTAGTTTCCAGCCGAGAAGGAGGCCTGTCTGGGGCCCTGGTCAGAATGCCTACATATCTCCTCCGCTCTTGGAAAGACCAGGGCATGACTCGCCTCATGCTCCATCCACAAGTGTAGTCCATGTAACAGAGACCCCACCACTCACAGGTTCCAGCCATGGTTGAAAAATGGGCAGGTACCCCAGCCAGGATTCCCAAGTGCCCAGATCATGTAACTACGGTTACAAGTAGTCAGCATTTTCCTTCCCTCTGGTCTCTCTTCCCTTGACTATCTCATCCCTCCTCATCTCTTTCTCTCCCACCCCTTTCCACCGGCTCCCATCATCCCAGGGGACTTCCTGACCAGTCCTGTTGGCCGAGTGCTCCTCCAGCCTGTCAGAATCCTCAGCTTTCCTGAGACCCCCCCACCCCGGGAAGTCACCACTCCCCACTTCCCACTCACTTCTGGGGGTGGGGGTCAGGCAGGGCAGTGGGGGACTAGCTAGGGGAAAAGATGGTCTTCACATGTCCCCAGCCCTCTTTGCCCTCCAGGGGCTAGGGGACAACCTGTAGAAGGGACAGCTCGGAGGAGATGGGACGTGCCCTTGCCCAGCCGGCAGCAGGGGTGTTGGGGTGGCAACCCTAGAGAGAGGAATGAGCGCAGAGAGGGTGGCCAAACCCCCTCCGCCAGGCACCCGTGTGACCTGTGCCTTCAGAGAGGACAGAGGTAGGCACTGTGAGTCCGCCCTGCCCCAGCCCCTCACCATTGCCCTGGGGGAGATGACCCACCCCCCCCACTCCGTGACCCTCTCCCACCGCACGTCCGGCCAGTCTCTTCCTCTCCATCACTCCTCAGATCTCCAGGCTGAAGGCTGCAGGGACTAAAAAACCACGTGTGCACTCCAACACACACGCGCACACACACACACACCCCCCACCGCCGCCATCGCCCATGACAGGGCCCCACAGAGAAGAGAGGAGTGTTCCCAGAAATGCAGCTGCTCCTGAGCCAAGCCGATCTGGGTCACGGCGCCCTTCCCACAGGGGCTGCAGAGAGGCCGGGCGTCCCCCAAGCGGCCCCTCAGTACCGCTGCCGCAGGAGTTACCTTGAAAGTCCCTCACACTGAGTGTCTCTGAGGCCCTGCCATTAGCACTGCTGCATTCTGAGCAGAGCTCCTCAGAGACGCCTGTGTGGGGCCGCGACTGGGGGTCTGGACCCCTGAGTTCACAACCAGAAACTGTCACAGCCAGGCTGTGTGACCTGGAGCCCACCTCTGACCTCAACGCCTTCTCTGTGGAGTGAAGGCACATACTGGTTTCTGATGCCCTGTTAGGGCTCCCAGTCCAGGGGTGTAGGGGAGGCGGAGGAAGGGGTCACGGTGAGAGCTGTGGATACTCAGGCCTGTGGCCTGGCAGACTGGAAAAGATGCAGGGAGAACCAGGGAGCTGCACTCCGGCACCACCTCTTAGAGGTCACAGGGGGGGCTTCCCAGGTGGTGCAGTGGGAAAGAAACCCACCTGCCAACGGAGACTCAAGAGACACAGGTTCAATTCCTGGGTCAGGAAGATCCCCTGTAATAGGAAATGGCAACGTGCTCCAGTATTCCTGCCTGAGAAATCCCATGGACAGAGGATCCTGGTGGGCTACAGTCCCTGGGGTCACAAAGAGTCAAACACAACCGAGCATGCACGCGTGCATGACGATCACAAGAGCATAAAGTGTGGGAGACAGCAAAGGACCAGCTCTGTAGTCTGCGATCTAAACAACAGCCTGGGTTTGCCTGTTGCCATTGACCAGAACAGCCGGGACTGCAGCAAGAGGATCTGAGTTAGACACGCCGGGCCCTATTAAACTCATCTTCTCCAGAGGGAATTACAGGATGAGAGCCGCGGGAGGTCTGTCTTGAAACTTCCCGCTGATTGGTAGCCTGGGTGAAATGCCAGGGAGTGGGAAGAAGGGGAGAGACAAGAGGAGAGGAAGACAAGGTGTTAGCTCCCGTCCCCGCCTCCAACCTTTTAGGAGAGGAGCTGGGTGGGGTGCCCGTGCCCTCCAATCTTAGAGCTGAAGTGGAGGAAGGAATTTGTCAGGGGTGTGGTAGAGCCGAGCACAGGGCAGCAGGGAATGGAATGACAAGGCTGTCAAGTGGCGAAGCAAGTGTTTGTGGGAAACAGAGAGAAAGACCCTTCTCTGGTGGGAGGGGGTGAGAGGGAGCCTCAGCCCAGGGCTCCCTGCCCAGGCACCCCAGCCTTACTCCAGGCTCAACAGAACCTCACTGGGGCAGAGCCTGCCCCTCCGCCGTGACTGCGGCTTGGGCAGGGGAGCCCAGAGCCACTGTTTGAGAAGTAGAGTGACGCGTGCCCAGCCCAGGCCCAGGTACTAGGGAGGGGAAGGCTGGGGGTGTCCACAGGGCAGATTGAGCACAAGGGGCCCTTCCTTCCCCCGAGACTGCAGGACTTCAGGCCAGCTCTGCCTTCCCTCTGGGTGTCATGCTCACCCCTCCCCTGGGGGCAGCTGGCCAGGCTCTAGGAGAAGGTCTGCCCTCGCTCTCCTCCTGGCCTGGCCCTCGGGCGGGTGGGAAAATTTTGAGACTCATTCCAAAGCCCCTCCACCTGTGTCCCAAACCTGGCACCTCTGGTCTTCTGAAGGGATGGAGGCTGAAAAGCCACCCATGAAGCCCCTTTTTTTCCTCTCTCCATCTTTTTTTGCTGCAGTGAGGACTGGGTAAGAAGTTTGAGCAAGACTGTGCGGCTGGGCCCTGCAAATACCTCAGCCAAACAGTGAACAATCTGAGGTGAGGCCGGGGTGTGTGGATGGCGTCCAGGTGAGCTGATGAGCACAGATGTGGCAAATGTGTGTTTCAAGGAGGTGGTCAGTCATCCAGCCCCCTCTGGAAGCCGAGGTCCCCAGCAGCCAATCTTCCGGCCTAGAAAGATTTATTAAAGTAACTCCATACCTCTGTCCAGCCCACTCCCACCCTCCCAGGCCTTCTCCACATCACCATCCTCCTTCTCTGTCTCTTCTACCCAAGCAGGAGGAATTGAAGATTTCCCCCCACCACCACCACCTTCCCAGGTCTCTCCCTACAAAGTCACCTGGGGACACACCCCTCACCCCACCTCCGCTCCTGGCCTAAGGCTCTTCTGGGGATTCCTGGTTGTCAGAGGACAGGGACACAGGTGTCCCCCATGCAGCCCAGGGCTGGCAGAGGCAGCCTCCAGCCTCCTCGAAGCTGCCCATGGGGAAGGTGAGAAGCAGGGTTATCCTGATGAGCTGGCTGGGTGCTGACGAGGAAGCCCCGTCTCTGGCTGTCTCTGACCCAGACAGAGGTGGGGGGCCCTGAACCCTCTTCTGCCTGACCCGACAGTGCAACCCCACTGGGCACTTCCAGCAGCAGGCTTCAGATGAAGCTGTAGTCTGATTGCGGACACCTTCCGGACATCCTTGGAAACCCAGGACCCCCTCCTCAACCAGGACCCCTCCTGCGTGCCTCACCCACCCTGAGCCTCTAGAGGGCGAGGGAGAGCAGCGCTGGACTTCCCGCCCTTGGGGCATACCCCGGTGGCCCTCCACGCAGGCCCCTGGGACCAACCAGCCGTCCCCACTCCCCTGCCCCTGGGGAAAAGGGGCCCACGCTGAAAGCTAGGCAGCCAAACTCACCATCTAGGGGCAGGAGAGTGTGGGCCAGGTCTGGGAGGGGCGCTGCTCGGAGGAGGCAGGCACAAGCAGGCTGTGGGGATGCTGAAGAAGGATGAGTATAATCAGAGGAAAGATTATCTGGGACCAATCCGAGATTATTCTGCTATTCATCTGGGAACAAAAAGGAGAGCTGTGCCCTGAGCCCTGGGAATTTCTGGTTATTCCCTGATCTGGGAATAACAAGGGACTTCTTGGCCCATAGAGCAAAGCTGCAAAGCTCCCCCGACCCTCCCCAGGATCAGAACTAGGGTGAGGCAACAAGGGCACAGTTTAAGGAGGGGCTCATCGTCAAGTGCAGGGCTGGCCCTGACCGTGAGTGCCTCCGTAAATTCTGCACCCTCGTTCCCCTCATCTTAGTCCCAGCCCTGACCTTTGGGCTGCCTGTCCTGGGACTAAAGCCACAGGCATATGGGAGGCAGAAGTGGGGTGGGGAAGCAGAAGGGTCCCTTTTTCACACTGGATCCCTCAAAGGAAAGAGCTAACCCCCAACTCAGCGAGAGGGGCTGGGATGAGGAGGGACACAGCTGTTTGTTAACTGAGCCTAGGTCCCTGTGTCTGTCTGTCTGTATCACTGTCTGCATGTATATTTGTGCATCCAGAGTGTGGGTCTGCTGATTTTTAGCTGGGAGTCCTTGGGCAAGTTATCCAACCTCTCTAAAGTTCTGTTTCCTTGAAAACTTGTAATAATAATACCCATACCCCAGGGTTATAAAAGAATTGAATGAGAAAATATATGCAAAGGATGAAGCATAAGCACCTGGCCTGCACACAGTAGAAACTAAATGAATGGTGATTGCTACTCCCATTGTCAATAATATTATTATGTATGTGGCTTCAGCTTACGTTGCAGCCTTATTTCCCACTGTCGCCCTATGTATAGGTCCCATTCCAGCCAAAGAAGTCTTCTGATAGTCCCAAACCCGCACATTGCTTGTTTCTTCCTCCTGGTCTCTGCTCCATCAGTCATGAAAATGCATCTCTTGAAACAAGACTTTCAGAACCACTTTTGTTCAGTGGTCTCCCCGAAGCTCTTATAGCATAGCCTGTCTATACCTCTCATGCCAGCCTCGGTGTGCTGTTGAATGCAGTTAACTCTCTGGGGTGTGCGTGTAAGTATGAACTCTCTCCAAGCAACTTATACAGGAGGGGCTGCACTTTTCAGTGGTCTGTATCTCCCCGACCCCAGCCCAAGGACTAATACAAGCCTGTAGGTGTAGGGAGCCACGCGTAGGCTCTTTGTGAGTGAAGACGATGATAATGGTAAATACTGCCTTTGACGGCATTCCTACTGCGTGCCTTACATGAGCTAATTAATCCCTGTAAATTATCACTGTAAAACTACAGTTTGGAGAGTTTAAGTAACTTGCCCAAGGTCAAACCGCAAATAAA